GTGATGGGAATTCAAATAATTCTGATTTCAGCATAAAGACAGTTCATGTGATTTACACCAGCTCAGCATCAGCTCAGCTGTATCTTCCACATGGTCAATAACAAGCAACAAAACACAATGGACAGATGCATGGTTAATCAGTGTTTGTCTTTATTTTTAATATACAAAAAATGGATGTATTCTCTTCTAGTTTATATTTCTAAGCATTTCATCTCGCATACATCGATCATGGCCACTCGCACTCCTCCAACTTCAAACGCACACAATCTTTATCGACACAATTCACATGAAACAGGGACCGCATTCCATTCATCCATCACTCACTGCATTCACTCCAAACACTACAAGAAATTAATGTCTGAAAATAAAAGTAGAATTTTGCTTTCACGGGATCCACACATGAAAAGGAAGAAACCTTTTACATTTGTCAAGTAAATATATACATAATAGATTTTTTTTATTTGTAATTTTTAAATTTTTATTCCAGAAGATGACTGACTCCATGTTAGTGTTTCTAACAAGGTACTGCATGAGGTAAGTGGGTTTTCTGTTCAGAAGAGCTGGGCATAAGACAGCATTTTTTTTTTAAAGAGGTAACAAGCAACTTTTTGTTTAACTTTTAATACCTTGCACTTTTGAGACCTTGCAGTCTCCTGTTTTTCTGGCACAATACGTGAAAGATGAGCACCTGGGTTTCACGTTCCCCTGACAAAATAGCTTACTTTTAATCCCGAGAATTTTGCGCCTTTTTCGGAACATGGACCCGGTGTACTGAGACAGAAGTGGAAACCGCAGACTCACAGCTATGACTTGAATTACATGAGATTCAAATGACTATTGCTGTATAATAAATATTGCTGGACCCCTCTAGACCACGGCCACAGACAGTTGTCACTACCACGGATCACACGAGCTGGCCATTTTATTAGCAAAGTGCGTGATGGAATGACTGCTTGGATAGATAGTGGGACATAGCAGCAACAGAATGGACTTGCAGATTAGTCGAAAAAGGTACAAGACAAAAAGGCTACTACAGTAAAAGTCCTGGTTTGTTCACCTGATAAATTGAAAAAAATATTCAGATACAAAAATTGGGAAATACTGTCCATCTTGAATTGATCCTGAATTTGAACTAGGTTAGCTTATTTCAAGTTTATCAACAATAAAAGGTCCAAGTAACTTGCTTTGGTTTTGCTGTATAAATGTTCAGGGAAAACGAGATGTATGAACTGGTTGATCAGTGAAAATGTGTGAATTAAAAATGGCCAAATGAGATTGTAACCAATAATTGTTTTTTTTTTTTTTTTAAACCACAAGGGAATATTCATTAGAGTTTTTTAGAACCTATTAAAATGGCCAGCAGGTGAATCCTCAATACGACACATATTTAATACATTCTGCAGGGCTAAGCTGTGTCAACCCATACCCTTAAATTTCACCGTATTTACCACGAAACCATAGTGTGTATGTGTGCGTTGTCCTTTCGGCTTCAGGCCTAAATCTGAGCAGATCCGAGCGTCACATCAGCGGGTTCATAAAGAGGTAATACTGTATGCGTTTTCCGGCAGAAGGAACCCAATTGCTTAATTCGCCCGTGCTAAAATTTCCTGTCCCCGTTCATTGATAAACAATACGCTTTCTAATCAAGCAAGTGCTACCTACGCAGCTTCTGATCCAGACAAACTGATACCATTCAAATCAGCATATATATTAAAAAAAATAATGAAAATGCAGGGCAAGTTGTCGACATGGTTTTCAATACGGGTGCATGTGAAAAAAAGAGTTTTTTTGCATAAACAAGTCTTTACAATGTTGAGAGCTGAATTGAAAGTGAATACATTTGCTGTTGGTAAATATTGGGATGGTCTTACGCATTACAACTTTTATTTGAAGAAAAAAAAGTTTCTCCTCTTGCCCATTTGACTTGGTCATAACCCATTAGCTGTAGGCACGTGGTCGGGCAACTTTTGATGATGGTTGTGTCTGCTGTGCTCCAAGATCTATTGTTTTCTGGTTCAGCTGTCCCACAGAAGAGAAAACCGTCCAATCAATTGAACCTATTGCATCATAGAGACCACTATGACGAAAGTAAAGGTGACAACTCGTGCAGCCGCTGGATCACTACAAGGCAGAATATGCAAAAATAAAAACCTTCAGGTTCTGCATAAAAGGTTGCATAAGGGACGTCTATAGAGTCAAAATTGGCACAGTATCGAGAAAGATAATATTACTAGGTCAGGCTACATAAAAATTACATTAAATTTAAGTGGTCAGCATCCATCAAAAGTGGTCAAAAACAATATAATCGGCAATATTAAGAGAGGGCTAAAGGCAAAGAGATACCACTGAAACTCTCACAGCAAAAGAGCTTAACAAGTGGGTAGTGTGTATTGTAGTGGTCATCATAAGTTGCATTAAAAGTGGTAGAGTCCTGATTTGTACATTATAAATGTAGTCCACTTTGAATTAAGCTGCAAGAATACATTCACGTCTTTTACACAATTTCTCTATTTCTTCACATGCGCCTGCAGTGTTGGAGCTGAGAAATCCCTTTGTGGTACATGACGACATTAATAATGCCCTGAATATGCTTTGAAAAAACAGCAGTGTAAAACAACTGTGTCCAGGCTATTTACAACTAATCGCCCAAGTCTTTTTTTGTATTTTACAACAATTTCAAAACACTTTGACAAGTGGTCAGCCTCTTTAACTTTAGAAAAAAAGAAAAAAAGTGAAGTGGGGGAGGGGGTAAATCTCCACAGACAACAAAGGCCTGACCGGCAATAAAATATTTTAAACTACTAAAACACAATAAAATACATAACACAAGTTGATATACATGTAGAAAAAGCCTGAGGTACTTGTCAGAATATCTGAGGTCAGTCTGAAAGAGTGAGCGGACTGCAGGCTCACTCTTAAAAAAAAGAAAAGAAAAAACAAATCAACACAAACAGAATATTAGCCACGGCCATGGTTAGCGTCATATTTAACATCTACAAATCCTTGAGTATTGTGAAAATCACAGCAGCATTACGGACATTCAAATGTATGGTAAAAAGTCATGTCTATGATTATATACTGTACGACTATGGCATTTTGCATTTGTGAGATGAGAAGGCAACCGTTTTTGAGCTCTCCGTGCATGAAACGTAGGTATACCGTGAAGTGAGGTATTTGTGGGGGACTGGTGTCCGACTGAGGCCAAGTCAAAGAACGGTTAAAAGAAATTAAAAGAAACAAAAGTTTAAAAAAAATAAAAACAGACATGTTGCTTTATATATACTCAAGTATGGCCCTCAAAGTAGAAATCCCCCAAAATTATATCTGCCCGCAGTTCTGCCATCACACTTCACTCACAGCCAGTCAGTCTGTAGTTGTGACAAGACAATGAGGAATGTTATTGGGAGGCTGTGTAGAAGGTTTTAATAAAAACAACGTCACTGTTGTTATTGTGCGTCGCCAATGTCAGTTTTCAGTTTAATGCATATTGACTGGACAATGAAATCCAGTTCATATTTTTTATAGAAATTATGCATGATTTCAGGGACTTTAGTGACATAGCAGATGTTCAAAACTTCAAATGCACAACACAGCGTCCCAACCATTTCCCCCATTGGCTTTGCACATTTTGCACTCTCACGTCACTCAAATCACTCAAATCACTTAAAAATCAAGAATGTGTAACATTGCAACTCCGGACAGCATCCACCAATGCCCCTGGCATTGGCAATCTCTTCAATTTCTGCATTTTAAAAATCCAGGAATAGTGTGTCCATGATAACTAGCCGGATACAGCTTGGCTCTGTTAAAATCAGAGATAAAAATGTTCCAAAGAAGCCTACTGAATACCTGAGAGGTAGTTCCTCTGGGACAGGTCGAGTCTGTCCCGAAATCTTCACAGAAGTCCAGGATGTGAGCTCCTCCTTCCTCGGGTTGGCGCTTTTTTGTTTTGAGTTTTTAAAAATCTTCAAACCCTGAGGAAAATGAGTAGATTTTTGTTTAACAGTCTCAACGTGGTTTTCCTCCCGAAGACGCAGCGAGAAAACGTAAGGTTCATTTAGCCGCCGAGACGGTCGTGGCCAAAGACGAGGAGAATGACAAACGTATGAGGTAATTAAAATATTCTAACACAAAGTAATGCATGAGGTAATGACATTAAGATTTGACACATGGTGAACTCGGATGTGCCCGCCCCGTAGCTTATTCCTACCACTCACTACAGCAGATGGATGTGGGTTAGTACAAAAACAGGCTAATATAATAAAAATAATACCGGTACATCTTCATTCTCACATTGTAGAACCAATGATACCGCAAACGCAGATGGAGCCCACTAGCAAGTATGACTCTATAGGCAATTTTAGCAACCAAAACAAATAAACTATTAAAGTAGTAGCAATAAAAAAAAAAAAAAATGCAAATTGAATGGTGGTAGATATGACTAAATCTATGCGTTTGTCAAATTCATTTAACTCATTCCTATCAGTGACATGGTGAAGGATTTCCTTTTCTTTCTTTTTCCTTGCCCAATAGTCTAAATTTTGCATTGTACATAAAAACTGACATAAAACTAATGTGGTAGCTTGCCATAGGCTCGACTTTTCCACACGGGCAGAAAAGGCAGCTTTGGCCTTAGGTTTAATGCATGAAATACACCAAATCCATTTCTCTGCACAGGGTCTTTGCGATTGCTGGTTTTTGAAGAACGTTCATTCTTTTACCAAGGTGTCAAGGTGTCATCTGAGTAGTCCCTGTTTGAAATTCAGCCAATAGAGTAATACCAGCCTGTGTAGTCCATCCGAGTTCAGGACTTCATTCGTTTAACGTAATGTCAAAACAACCACACATCAGGGTAAAAGGGTATTAAAATAGCAGCTGCATTCATGACGCTTGTTTACTTTCCCTCTCTCCAATATTCACCGCCGAGTTAGGATCATTGTACAACGTTCGTGTCTGGGAGAGGGAGGAGATTGTGACTGGGGAGGGAGGGAGAGTGGTGCTCAGGTGCTGGACTCTTTGGGAGGTAGGTCTTCGTTGGTGAGTGCTGTTACGATGGACCCAGGGTTGTCGGAGGAGGGCGCGCTGATCCTGGAGATCTGGCCGATGCGCTCCTCCACGCAGCCGGCCGACAGTCGGGCCTCGGCGTCGTGGTCCCAGCACTCCTCGATGGTTTCGCACATTTGGCTCAGGCCCTAGAGCAACACAGAACACGAGGAGGTTACACTGCTGTTCCGCCTGCTTGTGACACAAGTTACAAAAAGAGTGTAAAAGGACCAATAATCATATTAGATTTGATTACTTCCAATCTACACAACATATTATCCACATACATCAACAAAACAGACAAATATCCAGAATTCATGTGATCTCAGTGATTAGGCAGTAGTCTGGCCCAAAAATGAATCAGCCTCTGCTCCAGGAACCTGCAGCAGATATGCAAGTAAGTAGAAGTATTATGCTGCCTTCAGACTGCCAACGCTGGAACGCTGAAGCCTCGCTCACCAGACGCACATTCTCTAGTTTTCAGACGCAGGGGTCTTCAGACCAGAAGTCCTGGCGCGCGCCGGAAGTAGCCGGCAGGCTTTGACGCTAACAGAGTTTAGCTAGCGGCTTGTTGTGTAAAGTTCTTCTCCAATAATGCAACTTTGCAGCGTGTCTGAGTTCAGAGACCTTCCACAGACTTTATATAACAGCAGTATGTTTTCACGGAGGTGCGCAATAAGTTTATTTCATTATTATACAGTACTTCCGCATTGGCGAACAAGCCACAAGCACAAAGTTCCCCATTGTCAACCCTGGTATTAAGTCGAGGTGTATCTCCTGCTTTGGCTGTTTACAGTATGTTCAGTCTGCTCGCTCAGACCGCTTCTGTCCCCGTGATCACTTTGCGGCTCTCTGATTGATCGCTGCACGAACGTCCGAGGAAATGTTCACCAATGTTCATCTCCTGCGTGCGTCTATTTTCCGCTCCTGCACCTCCCCTTCGACTTTGCCGCGCAGACCGTGCGTCTCTACTGAGCAGTCCGTGCGTGCATTTTGACGCTTGAACGTACGTCACCATTGACTTTGCATTAAAAGCCAACGCAACGCATGATCCGGTCTGAACGCGGCATTATGCAACCAATACATATATTCACAGATTTTTTGTGTCAGAATTGTTCATAATTTACATCATGAAATAAATCCGCCTCCTTAAATTGCAACATCTTCAAAGACACATGAGTGGGGGGGGTTACAGATTATTACTGATGAAAAGAATTGTGTTTAGGGGGCAATTGTGCCCACAGCATGAACCAGCCTCTTCTCACTGATCAGAGTGGACTGGGATGAATATGGAGCATAGTTCCTCTGTCCCTGTCAGATTAAGACCTGGTGCCATATGGAGACACTGCCTTGCCCAAAGACAGGGGTCCTTTCCACAAATAAAATACAAACTAGAAGCCTTTGGAGGGCTCCATTTTGCATGTTCATAATCCGGCCTCCTTCATCTGCACTATGGACTGGTCTTCCCTGACCCGGACGTGTGGGCTGCACACTCAGGCCTTTATCGGAGTGGATCCATTTCTCACTTTACTTCCTACCAGAGCCCTTTAATAGCAATGCAGGAGGAGGGCCTAAGAAAGAGGTGTTAAACTGATGCCAGAAAAGGCAGCAGGTTTCATTTCAAATCATGCTCCTGCTTGGTTGGAATTAAAACCTGAAGCCACACCACCGGTTTGACACCCCTTGTCAAAGGTCATTGATGATCCGGGACATTTAGGGACATAGCTATTGGTCCATAGGGATGACCTATGTGTCATTATTGCATTTCCCGTCTTTAAACTGTGCATTCTCTGGTCTGTTGATGAATCAACAACTCTGTGAAGTCCTCCTTGACAACGGCTGTTGTGCTTTATACATACAAAAATACTTTGAAATTTAATTGAAATGCTCACACCCACCAGATGAATTATGGGACATGAAGATAATAGTTTGTAATAAACGAACAACTTCTATAGCATTCAAAATCCAACATTTGAAGCAGTAGCGAAATACCATTATTGTTGCTTCTAAAATATTACAAATAAAGCGAGATTTTTTGCCATTATTCACTTGGTAATAAGCCCTGTGAGTACAAGCCCTGAATCATAACAGAACCATTACCTGGACACAACCATATCAGTGCAACATTCTCCCTTATCGAACACTCATGGTTACTGTATTATACTAACCGGATGTTTGAGCCATACGTCCTTGATGGCTGGCCGCATCTTTTTGTGCACCACAACATCCTGCAGATCCTCCAGAGACGGGTGTTGACCAATTTCCTCCTCAAACGGCAGCACGTATTCGGACGCTATACCTGCAAAGGAGGTGAAGGGACACGGGAAGGAGATGGGAACTACATTAGTTACGTACGGCGGAAGCAATGTGGTGGAAGCATATCAGAGGGCCTGATCTTTGAACTCTCAACGACAGAACAAAACTGGAAAGCTGGAGAGCCTGTTTGCCTTTTGAAGATGCCAAATGCAGAACATATTCAAGCGTGCACAAAGTACACAAAACCATCCTTTTCCAGGAAGACATGTTTTGAGCTTTTCACAAAGTTATTCCTTGGTCACAAACTCTGCCAATTAATTGTGCATCTTTGAGTATTCACGCCTCAAGGTGCAATAACATGATTATGTAAGTTAAAAAGAATCTTTTCATTTTCAGTTTTATTGAAAATCTGACACTAATTTGAACTAAAACTAGTATCCAACCTAGAAACTAATTTCAGAAAGTATGGATACTGAATAATATTATAGACCAGGGTTAGGGTTTTTTAGATTGTTTTGCTATTCTCTAAAGATTTTTATCTCAGAACTAGAATAAACCTGAATGACTTTACTCAAGTGGAGTCAATAGGACGCATCAGAGACTTTCGTCACAAGGTGGACACCACCTTACACCAGACACGCCGTCAGTGGGTGATATATATACACATTATATCAGATCTTGTGTCCACAGTATGAACCAGCCTTTTATCAATGATATCAGAGTGGATTGCTGGATGAATATGAACGCGTGTGCGTGCGTGTGGCTAAAAAGCCTATCTGCTATGGAATAGTCTGTAATTTAAATGATGAGACAAAATTATGTATAGCTGAATTTTTCATATGAATTGATTCGAAAACTCATAAATTCAATAATTAAACCTAAAGAATAAAACAAATAAACATTGCATATACTAAAAATAATCAATGTTATATATATTAATATTTTCTGTGCGATCTGATATTGTACACATACCAATGGTTGTTAGACACTGATGGCAATTATTTCCGTCCATGCTGTAATCTAATGTATATCTGGTTACCATGGTATTTCGACTTATTAGTAACACCAATGTTGCTTTTGCAATAATTGCTTGACATTATCATTGAACTGCATCATAAAGCAATACCATTGCTCTTCCCCACACTCACCCTCTGAGTCAGTGCAGCGAGACACCAGCTCCCATAGCACCAGGCCCATGGCGTACATGTCGATCCTCAGGAACGAGTCGCGCTGGAAGTTTATGGCTCCCTCTAGGACCTCCGGAGCCATGTACCGCCGCGTGCCCACCTTTCACACGCATACACAAGTCCAGTGAGAAGCCGTTGACAAAGAATAGATATCTGATAGACATTATTGATACAATTCAAAACATTTTCAGACCATTCTAGGTTTCCCAGAAATGAACAGCACTAATGGCTAATTACTTTTAGGGTGTGGATTCAATTGTAGGGTAAGTGATTCACTTTAGCAGAGCCAATTCTCGTTAATCTGGGAAAAAATTGCTTTATCTGTGGTTGCAAAACCAGTCAGATGTATTTAACCATCAATGCAAAGAAAATATATTGATATATATAAAAAAATGAGGAATGATAATATTGCAATATCATTATTGCAGTCCTTGAGACATATCACTCTGTTTCCCCCAATATCATGCATCTCTCATAACATTACATTTAATCTCTTTTTCCCCCACTCTGAGATAGAGACGCTGCACATCTGATCCATATTGTGGACCAGCTTCGACCATACCGCCTCAGTAGTTCTCCACCATTTGCTTAAATTCAAGTATTTTAACGTTTGACACATGTAAATCGAAAAACTGTCAAGTGTGTGAATAGTTCGGTGACAAAAACTCACTTGCATAAGAAGTGTGTGCATACTGTGCATTCCAGGAAAGCTGTATGAACCTAGCTACCTGTCCATGTGTGTCTCCTGGAGGCTTCCCCGGCTCGAAGCGCACGGCCAGCCCAAAGTCCCCGATCACGGCGGTCAGGTCGTCCCGCAACATCACATTCTTACTCTTGAAGTCTCTGCAGGATTCAGACGGAAACAAAGTTGTTACTGTATATTCTTTATGGAGATGTTTAGTTCAGCGTGTACGCCAGCTGTTGTTTTATTATTTAAACACATGCATACTTAATCTCAAGGCTTCAAAGAGCTAGCATTCATTAGTAGTGTGATCAAAAATGCGCGCTGACAGTATATCCGACATGCTAACGATTATTTGCATAACATTTTCATAATGAGACCAGCTTATTTTAATTCATTTGCAAGTGAGACAGATTTATAGAGCCACACACCAACATGTTTTCGACAACAAACACGCATTGACTGTCACGGATTAATCGAAGCCCTTTATGCCACTTGTTTTACAATGTCAGCAGTGATTATGTACTCGCCCGAATGCTCATATGGAGTGCTTTGTAGAATTGGGCCCCAGGATTCCTTGAAAGGAAACCAATACCATCTTAAATATTTCTTTCTTTGTATGGAGACAGTTTAGTTCTACTAGGTTGGGTTAATGTGAAATCACAAAATTTTAAAGAGCCTATAGTTTATTACTGTGTTGGAGGACAGTTTAATAAACAATCCTCAACTGTTGTAAAAGTAAAAAGTCTAGAGCCAATCTCTCCAATTCCTGGGAAAATCCGCACGACACGCCAAATTCAATTTGCAATATGAGCTACCACCCAAAACTCATAGCACCGGCCCCTTACTGATTCGGATTACTGAATCCCTTTGTTACATCATCATCATCCATGTTTTGCATGTAGTACCTGTGTGCGATGGTGGGTTTGGGGCCTTCTCCCTTGTAGCTGGGGATATCCTCGTGAAGATAGGCCAGACCACGGGACATGGTCTCGGCAATATGGCACAAGTCGGCCCACGACACAGGGTTCCCCTTCAGGTAGTCCGTGAGAGAACCCTAAAGAACGACAAATGGAAAAAGAAACTGGTTTGAATCGGTTGGCAAATGAGCCCACAAACTTGATATGTAATTCATGTTGTACAGTCCCTTCGACAGGTGAGAGTTGTGTCTATTTTTAGTGTGTAGCCTTACACTTTGCCATATCCAGAACATTACTATAATTAACCCATTAGCGAAAGTCTGTGTTGTAGATCTGTCACAAATGATAACATTGTATTGCTGTTGCGAAGAAATAAAACATCTCCACCGCTGCCAAGAGAATGTACAGACACTGCAAAACATCTCCATTGGTTATTGAACAGTATTGAACAGTTGTGTAAGTGCGAGTGTGACTGTGTGCGCGGGATAAATACAACTAAAGCACATTGTACTGTTTCTTTTTAACTATTCCCTTTGTTTAAGTCATAATTCAAGGAAAATAGCCAAAATTCAGCTAATTCTTCAATAAAAACTATAGAAGACACCGATAGACTAGTTAGAGTGCCGACAGCATGAACCAGCTCATTCTCAGTGATCAGAGTGGACTGGAATGAATATGGAACATAGCTCCTGTGCCCCGGTCAGATTAAGACCTGGTGCCAGATGAAGACACCACCTTGTTCAAAGACAGAAAAGCTCATGATATGGAATGCAAAAGGGCAAAAAAAGACCCAGAAAAGGTAGGTGAAAGGTCCAAGGCTGTATTTGGAGGCCAGTGTTAGTGGCCAGTAAATCAAAACTTCAAGAAATACAGTCACCTTGAAGGACTTCATAAAATGTTTGATTTCCGAGCATCTTAGAAATTTTTTTATTATGACCTTGATCCTTTGAAAACCATTAGGTTTAACTGTGCCGTGTGAGCAGAGCGGTTTCCACTGTTGATTCAAAGTTTCAAGTTTGAAAAGTTTTACATTTTTAAATCAATGCATAGGTCAAATAAAATGTCTTAGTGTTTCGGAGTACACATATTTTTCAATTCACACACGGTGCCGAAAGAAGGTAGGGGAAATCCGTGTACCCAGAGGAAACCGGAGCTGACTTAGGGAGAATATGCAAAATCTACGTCTGGAGGTGGAATCGAACCCAGGACCCTCTATTTGTGAAGCATAAGCGCAGACAACATTTCTAGTAGATCCAGTTATTATCGTCTTCTTTTCCAAGGTTTGCAGTTTTGCTTTGATCAGACATACTAAACCAATACATTTCTCAAGAACATGCCTCTGTATCTCAGTGAATTAAAACATGAACCAGCATTATAAAGATGTGGTGACAGAAGATAAGGTAGCATCAGGACATACTTTCAAACTAATTACCCATTCCCTCAATTCCCATTTACAGTTTATGGCAATTTACTGCTCAATCTCTCTTTTTAATACGCTAATACCGTTGTTGACAAGACAAATAATCAACGCCGCCTTGTTGTCTAATTGCTCTTCTTTCACGGCGTGAGAAAATTATGCCATTATTTCCAGCAGTAACTGAATTGCTCGTCATAAATCTACAGACAAACTCATCTCACTATACATTACTGTCCGTGGCGCTCCGCATGGTAATAAAAAATATCCCTTTAATAAAGCTCAGGTCCTCTATGGTGAGGTAAATAAAGGAAGGACGTTATTACAAGAACTGTGGCATTTCTGGTCTGCGCTAAGGCCCATATCGTATAAAAACTACTAGACTGCTCTACTGTATGTTGTAGCCTATAATGCTCAGAGGTCTGTTCTGCAGCATGTCTGTCTATGGGAGTGGATCCCACTCTCAATATTAAGTTTCTCATTGGTTCCTTGCCGTTGCATGAGTGTCTGAGGACATGCTCCGGGACATTAATGTGCATCTCTGCAAAGGCGCCTTTGTTCCATAGGGAGAGGGATGACCAATGTTCATTAGTCTTTGTTATTACTGCATTTACTGTGTTCAAACTGTTTGATACCCTTATCTTTGAAGAATTTAGGGCTATACAAAAATATATTGAATGTAACTAAAGGAACTTGTGTTGGAAAAACATTTTATACGTGTAATCAATAAGACCATAAGAATTAAAAGTAGGCAGTGCCGCCTTACCCGGTAAAGATGTGTGACAGACCTTGCATAATGCCATTTAGAGCCTCTGCGAGAAAGCAGGCATCCGTCGTAAGAGGTTGCGAAGGATAAACAGAATCAGACTTCACATGTATCCTCATTTCGAATTTTCATCTTTCTAGTCGTACAAAGGAAAAGCTCCTACATTGCCAGTCTTTTGCAAACAAAATGTATCTTTCTAGTCATCCCGTTTTTAAGCTTAGAAATGAATTATTCGGACTAGATTTCATCCTTCTGAAATAGGCGTGTGTGGTTCTGAAACATGAACCGCACTATTCAAGGAGATACAGTATAATTGATTCTCTCACAGTGTTTGGCAGGAGCATTAAACATACTGCATCTACAGACTGAAGTTGGTCATAATGGAGAATTTTCTTTTTTTTTTTTTTACTGGATGATCTGGATTAAGTGTGTGGATTAAGTCCGGAAATGGATACAGTGCAAGAAAATAGATGGATAGAAGATAGGAACAGAAACGGGTCAACTAATTACCTCCGTCCAGGAGGTAAAGTGACTGCCATTTGTTTGTCTGGATGTCTGAAAAAGTTAAGGGTGGATTTGAAAGAAATTTGGTGATCCAAATGGTTGCCCGTTTCTCTGAGCAGAGGACAGCTTTCAAAGAGTGGTTTTAATAAAAAAAAACACACACACACGTTTTTTTTCTTTTCTTTTGACACTCAAATCTCATTCCATGCCTTTTACATTCAACAAAAAACTAAAACAAGGGTTTTGGATCATGTTCTCAAGGATAACGTAAAGTGATTGGACTTGTACAGGTCTTGTTTAAAATTCAAGCACAAAAAAAAAAAAAACTCAACTCACCCTCTCGTGAAACTCTGAGATGAGCCAAAGTTCTGACTCCAGGTTAGAACCATGTTTCTCTGAGGCGATGTAACGCAGGATGTTCTCATGCTTCATCCCCGGAGTCAAGAAAATGTCCCTTTCATTCTGCCATGACTGCTTATCCTGCAAAATATGAGCAGTTTAAAAAAGGGACAATGGTTTAAACTCAGGATGCACTTGGTCAGAAATATTGCAAATGAAAAATTTGCCCAACATTGCATTTTCCACACAAGATATTTGAGTCTTGTGTCTACACATAGAAAAAATACGATTTCCATTTGAAAAAGCGTACATATGAAGCCATTAACTAATTCCCAAATCTCACTTCACAATTCTGAAGAGTTCTAACCAACAGTTCAAGTATTTTCTTGCCAAAATACAAGATTCACAGCTTACGTAAATGTGACATAAATTACCAAAGCCCATCGGTGACAAAGAGACATATGAACCCATGCAGTCTGGGGCATAGGGACTAGTTTCCTGCTGGTGCCCGGAGTCAGAACTAAACATGGGGGAGGCAGAGTTTCAGATATTTGAAGCTGTAATCTGGAACTGTCTGCCTGAAAATGTGAGACAGGCTTCGGAACTGTTTTCAACCTGGATTTGAAAATTGTCAGATTAGCCATGCATACAGTAGAAATATTGCATTACCACTTGCTTTAATGTACGGTTTAATCTTATCCCTTGTATAATTGTTTCCATCTAGTTCTAACACGTCGAGTTGCCTTGTGGATGAACTGTGCAATACAAATAAACTTGCCCCATACAAATGTTTTTTTTCCCCTTTCTCTCTACTTTCATGTCCTTGTGTGTATGCATGTTTTTTCTGTTTTTTCTTTTATATCCACTTGGTTATGCCTAGTTAAATAGGCCACAACAGGATTCTCATTTTAACAGTGCAGGTACCTGGACAGGGAAAATCTTGACAGCTACATATTCACTCATTAGCTGAGCCTTCCACACACAACCAAAGCGCCCCCTAGCTTTGATCTCCAGCAACTGCAGAGGTTTCAAGCCAACAAGAGGCGAAGGAGGAGTTGGTCCGGGATCCTAGGGAAAAAAGGCTGCATGTTTAACAAATGTATCCTTAAATGTTAAGTTAAAACAATGCAACAAACAGTTTTATGATAAGATTTCATGGGTTATTTATGACCTTATATGGCTCGATTATACCTCGACATCCATATTAACATTAAGACAGTGCAAATGGCAAGGGCAGTATTTGACACTTTCACAAAACAAAATCTCTTGACACTCATTTTTTAGACATGATTGGTCTGTTTTTTCTGTACAGTGGCTAGGTAGGTGGCAACTGTACAATGAATAAGGTATAAACTTCAACAACATTGCCTAAAGTTCCAGCTCTTGCTTGACACAAATGTTTCCGCCTGGTGCCAACACTGCTCTAAAGACTGACTTAATAATTAATCATAACATAATTATGGAGTTCGTTTTAACCAAACTTGAACTATATCGATGTTAATTTTGTTTGTAAAATATACAGTGAGTTTTTGCACACTCTGCAATGTTGCTGGTTCTCCCACTTCTGAAATGCTCCTACATGCATTTCCACTGTTAGAAACATGTTTTTTTTTGTATTTTACTGGGGTTCATAAGTATTTGCACACATAAAGAGCCAGAATTATGACTCTCAAAGAGCAGACAGTTCACCATTACCCCAAAACTAATCACTCACCCATGATAAGAAAAGTGAGTGTGGTCAGATGAGACTAAAATATAACTTTTTGGTATAAACTCGACTCGAGGAAAAAGAGATTTGAGTATCATCCCAAGAACACCATCGCGACAGTGAAGCATGGGGGTGGAAAACATCATGCTTTGGGGGAGCTTTGGGGGAGCCGTATATTGTGAGATTCTGGCCAAAAACTTCCTTCCCTCAGTCAGAGCATTGAAGACGGGTTGTGGCTGGGTCATACATAACAGTAACCCGAAGCAAACATCTTTGGAGGGAGCTGAAACTCAGCAACGGCCCTGAAATCCAAAGATTTGTGTGGAAGAGTGGGCCAAAAATCAAGTGTAAAAATCTGGTGAAGAATTATAGGAAAGGTTTGGCCTCTGGAATTGCAAACAAAGGCGTATGCGATAAATGTTAACACTGATGTTCTCATGTGTACAATACTTATGAACCCCAGTAACACACAAATAAATCATAGAATACAATTCTTTTTTTTCTGTATTTTCTTTTTTTTTTTAGATTATGTCTCCAACATTGGAAATACATCTATGATGGACATTTCAGACCTCTCCCTAATTTCTAAGTGGGTGAACTCTCAAAATTGCAGGATGTGCAAATACTTCTGGACCTCACTGTATTATGCACTTGCAATGAAGGGTGGAAAAAAAGTTGATGGGTTACTCAATAGATGCACAGAAATATTCAATTGATTACATGGTTATTAAAAATATGCATAGTTAGGGGGCCTAAATGAGTTTGCAGGGGTGCGTTTTTGTGGTGACGTGTGCCCCATTTTTCATGCATCTCCTGTCTCATTTCAATTCATCCCAGTTCAATTCCTTTTTGTATCGCCCTAAAACACATTAGCAGCCGGCGTTGTCCAGGGGGACTTTGAAAAGTTGTTGATTTGTTGACTAAATTTTTGAGAATCAAACTGTTCCCTTTGTTTGCAGTGTTCTCACCTCGCTGAGATCCACGTGGCCGTATGGAGGCTTGCGGTGGCGGTACATCCACAGAGCCAACACCAGGGCCAAGGACACAACGCAGAGAGGCAGCAGAGAGTACACCAGCACATTGAGCAGCGAGGGGACACGCTGAGGAAGCCGTATCTTCACTGGAAGACGAGAAAAAAGACGTTAAACACATTGGATTGACTATGTATAACAATGATGCTTTACTTTGGCGTTTCATGTTTTAAAATGTGAAATAATACCTCAAGCTCAAATATATGGTGAAATTGGTATGATAAAAATAATGTTATTAACATGAGAAATTATTAGTTCTTGGGAAATACAAAAAAGGTAGAAAATTCAGCTCCGAGCGTGGTGTTATAGTGGTACAATAACATATTATTACAGGACTGATGCAGTGTTCATAGAGGGAGATCCCCATACAAGAAATTAAGGACTGTTCATGAGATCTCAAACTCAATGCACCTGACAATGCGTACTTTCAAATTATGCATTCATTGTCATACATAAGGCGGACCGGATTAAAATGTACTCGCAAACAACTGAACTTAATTTAAGTTATTACATTTTCGTTATTTATCTAATGATCTGACTATGATCTATAACTTAAACAACTCAACATGTTTCAGTAGTAATATTTCAACGAACACAACTTGGTAATGAAAAGGATAGAATTATGAAATAAAACAATTGCAGCTGCTCAGCTATGATGCTATTAGAATTGCAGAGCAATTACCATGCTCAACTGCGTCACCAATAGTGTAGCTTAAAATCCATTTCGTAAGCATGTCTCTTCAAAAGGACCATTTTAAGGTTCATCTGGCCATTCGACTAATAGTAGTATTAGCCAAATGTAACAGTAATACTCCATGAGGCGCCATAACAGCGTGTTTGTAGCTCTAGCGAGAGATCCGAGAGATGTTTGTAGCCTTAGCTGGGAAACATCGGTGAACACATGCCCCAGAACGTTTGTTGTTTCACCCAAACTATTTAACTGGACGCATTTGCACTTTAGTATTCTTTTTTTTTTTTTTTACAAACAGGAGTGAATAAAAGTGGTTTGGGTGCGGGTACAACTAACGACACAAACAAAGACTAAGACCCAAAACTTTGTATTGAGTTCAGATGCATACGTCTCAAATTTGCGCTTCATTTCATTCACGGGTGACTCATTTTGGCATTAAACGGTTTACAGACTGAGCAATATATGGTCAGAAATTCATACATAGGGTGCACCAGATTATAAGTCGCACAGTTAAAATTAACTCATTGAATGCCAGCCTATTTCAGAACAGGTACTCCCACAGTGCCAGCCATTTATGATGATTTTTACTGATTTTTCAAGACCCACAGAATATTGTGTACTATGACTATCTGAAATCCGACACCAGATTCTAAAAGAATGGACTGTCTACTTTCCTCAGCAAGAAGAATTTTGTTTATAGCTTTTTTCGTTCCCCTGTAATCCTCCGTTGAGTAGAGGGAAGTTTTACTGAAATCACCAGAAATCACCAGAAAGTTGAGAAAAAAGAGGCACAACATGTGCACCTACATGTTTTCAAACCATTCAGAGAGCAATGCTGCCACCTGCTGGCTCGATAAAATATGGTCTCAAGTCATCCCCATACATATTAGATACAATAGACATCTGGGAACGTGAAAATAGCGAAAAAGGCATTTGACGGATTAATGCGTCAATGGCACACGACGTTACTATTTGCTTTGACGTATTTGTGCGTCAATGGGACACAATGAGTTAAAGACTTTTGTCTGTGTCTAATGGTACAAAAAATACAGTATATTAAACCAACCAGTACACAGAGTCATCTTCCATTGTCAAGGCTAAGTCAATTCCCAGGGAGTTGTGCAAACATATTTTACTGGCGTGCGTTTGAAATGAACAAATCTCTCGGATCTCTGGCATTCAAAGAGAATTATAAACTTCAGAGTGACGGCGTTTAGTGTTTGCACATGGACTTTTCAGAAGCCAATTGTACTATTAGTCCCATTCATTGATTATATGCATTAATCAGGCTGACCCGCCTACTCGGGACAAACTATCATGTGACACGCCACCAAGGCGGGGGACAGTCGCAGCTTAGCAACCGAAGCCTATTAACAAGATAATGGGTAATATCTTATTTATACAGCACTTTTCCCAGACAGAGTCAAAAAGCTGTTTACAATTGCTGTGAACATTTGTCCTAAGTGAGGTCACTTAACAGGTGCATGCCAGCCCTCCTGTACATGTTTTAATAGTTATTCCAAACTACTGCACCACGTGTCCAAAAAAATTAGAGTATTAGAAAAAATAGATACAGTGCTAGAAGTGAAGTACTAGGCAGAAGCGAAACGCATGAAAATTCAAACCATCATAACAGTCAAACTACTACTGAACATGTATATAGTGGCACCCGGATTCTACATAGAGACGGCTAGAACATGCAAACTCCAAACAGAAAGGCCCTGCGTATCCAGTACCTGTGATACTGGTACAAGATATCTGTGCTGATCTTAAGCAGAAGTCGGGTCAAAGAGGGCGTTATGTACACATTTTAGAGGTGGAAACTTATACAGACACAGGGAGAACATGCAAACTCCACAAAGAGTTTTCTATCATGAGGGGTAGAAAATGAGAAACTGTTGTATCTGAAGATACAGATTGGAGCAATTCACGGCTCTTATGAGACGTATAGTGTGCATTAAAACTAATCCGTTTTTATCGTACTTGTACATTAGTTACAAGTCTAATTAAGTAATTGAAGCATGTTTAGATTTTCATGGCTGTGATAAAATACTATTGTAATGGCCTTTTTGTCATCTCATCTCACTGCATTGATTGTAATTCAAGATGTCAAATGTAGATCCAATGTCAAAGGAGACAAAGAGTACATTTTCAAGGAAAGAGTTCAATCATGACGCAAAGGCATTGAGAGAGTCGCGTCAGGCACAAACCATAAGATGGGAAATGATTTTTCTGCGTGGCAACAAGAAAGCCATCGGACATTTCACCTGCTTTTAACTTTTAAGGTCTATATCTTGATCAAAGTCAATATTAATTAGTGAAAGAGTAATTTAGAAATCAAGACATCAAATTCATGCAAGTTTTCATAAAAATAGAACATACAAATACACTGTAATGTGACTCGCTTTGGCAACCTGAATGTCTCTTCATTCTGAAACTAGATAACTTTACTTAAGCACAGCCTTAACCAGTCCCTCCAGGATTTTGCAATGTTGCGATCGCAACTAGGAAACATCAAGCAAACTCTGCGAAATCAGTGACACCTTGCAACTTCTTCTAAACATTGCAACTTTTCAGAAAAAAAGTAGTATTTGGCAGTGTGTCCGAGTCATTGCTCTCTCCCTATCACTAAGCACTAGTTGCGGGCGCGCTCCTGTCACTAATCCCCTGTGTAGGGCGTGTGCTCCTGTCACTCTCTCCTGTGCGAGGAGTGCACACCCCGTGCACACCGGGTTCGCGCACCTGTCCAAACTCTCCTAGTACGACCGGTCAAACAGAGCGATACTTGTTGACAAAATTGTATCTCGCTTCATGTCAATAAAGAATTTTTTTGGAAAAATGTCCTGCAAAATCAAGTATTTTAGCCCACAACAATCACAATAATTTCCCGCAAAATTCTGGAGGGACTGCTTAATAGGAGGTAATTTACAAAAATAATAATGATAGTTCTACAAGGCCCATCTCACGGTGAGATTCCCACCGTGAGATGGGACCCCGCTCCCATCTCTGTGTGGAGTGAGAGGACAAGTGCTCAAAAAATAACAATTGTAAACCGCTTTGTGACTCTGGTCTGTGAAAGGCGGTATATAAATAAAGCTTACTTACTTACTTACTTAGATTGGTGGAGGGGACCATTTCAAGCATTTACAATGTGCAAAGAATGAGATTTAGAAACATAAAATAAATATGAATATTTCACAACAAAATGCTTTAAGTAGTGCCTTAAGGGTTGACTACTTTTGCAAGACTTTTACAAACAACTTATAAAAAAGCAAATAGAAAAGGAAATATTTGAGGACAGACTGAATATGAGAAAGGGTTACAGGGGCCACACATTTTCCTGTGTTAACCCTTTAGGCGCCAGAGTTTTTTCAAGAAAATATACAATTTTGATTTCAAGATTTCAAAAGGCTATAACTTTAAAAAATGGTTTGAGATAAAGGCATACTGTAAATTAGAAATATCTTCAGTTTGAACCAAACTTTGGGATGGAAGTTGATTCGTCATCTAATTTGCATATTGTGACGTCATCAAGGTGGCGGCCATTTTGGGAAATGTTAATTATTGTATCAAGATTTCAAAAAGCTGTAGCATGGGAGTTTTTTTAGATCAGGGAATACTATAAACAGTCAATGTGAAATATCTTTAGTATGGAATGATTTTGGGATCGAAATAAATTCCCTGATCCAGATTATAGATAATGTTTCAGCACTGGTTCGCGGCCATATGGAATAGTATTATTTTCAAAGACCTTCAGTGATCAAGACTGCACTCTTTATAGTTTACAGTCATGAAATCTGGAGATTGGTTTGAATATTTCCCTTTCAAAGAAGTGGTGGGCTTACTATTTTTCCCAGTGGAAATGAGGCTCCAGGATTTATCGTTTAGAAACAGAGAGATGAAATTAATGGGCACAGAACATGTCAGATCGTCTCAACAAGAAACAACAGGCTCTTCAACACTTCTGATCCACTTTTGTGGATTATTTTCTCTCAAGAACTGCCTTCATCCTCATCATCGTTGTTGATAAAGGCAGTGAACGCGATTAGCGATGTGTTTTTTCCCCGCGGCTCCCCCGCAACTTCTCCCGCGCCTCCCGTGTTCCCTGTGGATGTCTACCCCCGCTACTTTCTTCCACATGCCCGGTGTTATGATCCCCCTGTCCCCTCGACCACGGCCTCTGCTTGGCGTTCACAGAATGCTTCTACCGTGGCCACACGGAGGACAAGCTGCTTCGCCTCCGCGCTGCAGCGCCGCAGGTGTTTTACGAACTCAATTTACTCAAAAACTTTCAATACAACCACACCCACAAATGCTGCTCATATTACAGGCGCACATGTCCACTAACCCCTGGTGAAAAGTATTAACAAGATTCTGCACCACATTTTTACATACAGCCTGTTTAAGTGAGAAATGTTGCTTGTCACAATATTGCGACTTTGGCGCTTAAAGGGTTAACTGTTCTATTTTGGTGTTCTTTGCCAAAGTAAGTAAAGTAAAGTTTCAATACAGGACTCACCTCGGTTGTCGATGCCGATGATGTCTGGGAGGTGGGTGAAGCGCTCGTTGCAGTAGTTCCCCTCGCAACAGCAAAAGAAAACCTGTGGGTTTTCCTCCATGGAGACGCACTCCTGCCTGAAGACGCACAAAGAAGATAATGGTCATTACTAGCCCTCTCCGATTGCCTTGCAACACTATATAGAGCTTTGAGAGTATTTAGTGCTGAACTCTTACCACACATGGATTATTTTACATTTAAGTCAATTTATTTCAACCCACCAGAATTGGAAAGTATGAGCACCTCAATGTATCATTCAATCATGCCCAGCAGTGAGTTTTTATTTGACTTGAATTGAAAATGTCTGTTTCATTATAACTAGGGAAATACTCAACATGCTGAAAAAAGGGACCATATGTAATATGCACTGTAATACGTCTAATGATGTCAAATCAGCTCCAAAGAAGCAATTACTGATGGCAACTCTTGGTATTAGGGATGTAAATCGGCGACCGTTTAACCGGTGGTTGACCGTCAAAGCGTTAACCGGTCAAAGCTGTCGGTTAAAAAAAGAGAAAAAGGGGAGGTCTCTTAATAACGCTATTTTAAGCCCTATTTGCACGGTGTGACGAGCGGGTCTGTATCTAGCTGTGTGCGCCCATGTATTATAAACTCCGGGACGACTCTCACGCCGCACGAGCCACACACACACACACACACACACACTCCCCCTCTCCATCTCTCCATACGTAACATCCACACGCATCATCTCTCCCCTCTGTTACCGTCAAAGTTGCACACTGGCGCGGGTCAGAACTACATTGGAGCTTACATTTACACACACACACATATACATACACACACACATACACACACATATACATACACACACACATACCGGTCTGTCGCGCTCCTCTGTGTCACGGAGCCAAATACACGGCTTCGCGCAAATACACGGCTCCAGTCAAACCACATGGAACATGTTTGTGTTTATGGTCCTCGGGATCAGCTCCACACACATCACTTGTATTTAAACTTTTGTGAAGACCTGTGAGACGCGGCTCGTCACTCGCTGCTCTGACCATGTGGACGAGCCGTCGTTTGCTGCTAGAAAGTTTTGGTATTAACCCGCAGCACAGCAGAATGGGAAGATTAAAAAAGCAGTTCACTGTGCGCAAAGGTGCCGGAGCTGTTGCGGGTTTGGGCGCCGCTGTCTCAACTCTGATCCAGTAGAACGCAGAGCTGCACTTATGAAAAGTACGCGGCTCGAAATGGCTGTTATTTCAAAGAACGTGGACTATTTTAAACTACGCGGTTAACCGGTTTCAACCGGTTAATGAGGCTCGGTGGTCGGTCATGAAAATTCATAGTTTTTTACATCCCTACTTGGTATGACTACTTTGTGTGCTGGTTTTTTTCTAAATTTCATTGACATAATTCCGCTCTCTGATTGGATATTTCTCTTGAAAAATAGAAAATAAATATGATGGACATCATGTTCCTAGTATTTTTCCACCACATTATGTGTAACACCACTTAAAAAAGGTAAATACGATTTGTACACGAGACCTGTTACTGGAGAAACATAAAATATGTAGAAATATTTCATAAGTAAAAAATTAAATGATTGCAACAGAACTTCAGATCGACCGACACGCGTGTATTTTAGTGTCTTATTACCATAAACATGTTCTGTCTTAGGGCTGGGCAATATAAACGGTATAAGCGGTATGCAATAAAAATTTGGCCAAGTGCTCCGAGGGACAGGAAGTAAATTTCCCCACTAAGAACAATGTAAACATTCACTGATTCAGAGTTAAAATTCTCTTTCTGTGGCGTGTACAGTTGTGGCAACTGCTCATATCAAGTGGGGAACTTATGGAGTCTCTACTTTGCTAAAAAAAAAATTCTCTAATGGGTGTACATATTTAAGAAAATGCCAAAGAAGAAACGGGAGAAATGCGCTAGCATTAGACACAGCCCCCGCATTTAGCTTACTGCTGTTAGCTTGACGGTACTTTTTGTCCGAAGTTTTGGTTATTTACAGCTCAACAAATCACCGAAATTACAATAAAGGGCCATATTTATTGCTTCAAATGTCTAAAGTAACATGTGTGCCCTATTTATTGTATTATTGATCAGAACTATCATCTCAGAAGTGTTTCTGTTGATACCAGAGTGACTCCACTGTTGTCACTATAACAGCCTTCTCATTGTTGATAAAATTGAACTCATTCAAACACTACAAAGCGTACACTGCATAAAAAATAGTTTTCACTCATAATGATACTAAGCCGCGAAAAGCTCCTTTGTCTACGTTTTCCAGCATTGCCCATTCCATTTAATAGGAGAAAAATACTTCCTGTCCTACGGAGCCATGCCTCGCCCCCTTTTGGTCACGTGGTTGCAACCCAACAATACTGCGTGGAAGTTAAACTTTTAAAATGTTCTCTGTAATTGCAGTTTTGCACAATACATTTAAATAAGTAACAATCTTGACTATTTCATGCAAGAACCTGCTAGACCTATATTGAAATTCACACACCAAATTATACCGCAATATATACCGTCTACCGTCTGTGTCCCAAATTATACCGCAATATAAATTTTAGGTCATATTGCCCACCCCTAATCTGTCTGTAGACATTTTGCTATACAAATATACTTGGCTGTTCAGTGGCGGATTGAATAGCTTAGTAAATTTTTGAGAAAAATCTAATATTTTGAACAAATGCCCACTTAAAGCTGCACCAACTCACGTCTCACAATATGGATCGCACAATTGAATGGATGGCATGACCATTGAATGATAGAACTGGGAAGCACAGAGGAACGAGACTTTTTTAGATTGATGTTTCGTTGTGTAAGCAGTAACCGGTAACAAAGACACGGGACTTTTCAGGTTAGCCTCTGTCGCTTGTTTACCTCAGATGTCTGTGCTAACGAGAGACCTGTAGCTTTTCTCAAGTGGGGGCCAGCGGTCTGCTGTGATTGGTCACAATCTGATCCCGAAACAAATTCTCTTCCTTGCATCATGCAACAAGGAGCATGCAGCATGAAAACTCGATCTAAAATTAAATGACACAGCAGCACAAATCTGCGCTACTTTTTCTTCAAAAGGACTTATATCCCAATGCATTGAAAGAATATGGATTGAATTTTTTTAATGAATACAAAAATAAACTGAGGTAATGCCGCTTTAAATTGAATATGGATGATCGGATTTGGCAAGATTAAGATTTTTTTTTAACAGTGTTGTGCTTTGATGGAAACAGAAGAGTACTGTAGAGTGATTTACAGATGTTCAGGCCTTGACATTAAGCTTTGTTGGGCAAGTACCATATATATTTTACTTGGCCAATGTCAAAAGTTACATGCCCAAAAATGTCTCAATACAATGAGTAACAAGAGTTTGGCAATAAAGCGGCACTAACTGTGGAAAAAAATCCACTCTCAGCCCAAAAAGTCAAGTAATTACTAAAACAATACGTGTCAAGGTGTGTTCTTTTTCCAAAGGGGAGAGTTGGGAGCTTTGAAACTATAACAGAAGCACTAAACTCTAAATGTGAGGTTAAATGAGTATGACGCGAGTTTCATAAAACCAGTTACATCCATTTGATTCAATTGCTTTTCATTGCCCAAGCTTGCAATGGATTGTTGCAAAGACATTGCAAATTTCCATATGCATTGAAAACCGTTTCAAATATGCCACATATTTTCTGTAATTACTTCTTGCAAAACCTTGTAGACTTGCAAAGTTTCAGGTGAAAGAAGTATGCAGGAACTTGAGATGGCTGGAGTACAAAATGTATCACCTCTGCCAATTCCTTGTACCATCAAAAACATGTTAAAAAAAATTGGATTAGAATCCAATGAAGTAATCCAGCCCAGGTTTGACTGGTTGAGTCCACTTCCGCATAGTGTTGTATGGTCTAAATTAGCTGTTATACTATGGGGCGTAGCACGGCCCGCTCTATATTTACACACGGCTCAGTTGCACAAGTTCCCGGACACAGTTTAAAAAAAAAAACTCAAAATATTACATGATGTCATCTCCAAGTATAATTAAAGACTATTTCAAACGCACAGTAGCGCCAACCACTTCCCTTTCAATATAGTGCAAGCTATTAGTTACATCGCGTTTTACAGTTTAGTGTTGAAAAAGGCATACGGGCCTCGACTATTCATTTAAAGCTGCAGTACCTAACTTTGAAACCACTGAAAACAGACATGTAATAAAAGTAAGTAAGTAAGCTTTATCTATATAGCGCCTTTCTCAAACCAAAGTCACAAACCTTTTTACAATAGTTAATTATGAGCATTTGTTTCTCACTCTACACAGAAGGGAGTGAGGTCGCCAGTACAGGAGGCGCATGCATAGCCGCCTGTACATAGCCTATTGTACATAACCGCGTTTCCACAGCAGGAGTTCCTGGTAAAAGGAGCGGGATGGAACTTCTACAGGAACCATTCTCTCACTCGGCTGTGTCGCCACTGCAGAGTAGGACCACTCTGCGACGTCATGAGTTTCGATTGTCGAAACGATTGTAACCGCTCCGATTGTTGTGGTCTTTGAGTTTTTTAAAGTCCTGCTTCAGTTTTGAGTGTGATGAATCCCCAGGGCTTTGAGGTGCGCTAATATGTCTTAATATATATCTTTTAATTTTGGCGCAATGCCTCAAACCCAGTCTGAATCAATGCCGTGCTGTTTGCCGTTTTCAGTGCTGCCTGCCGGGCTAATGCTTTTCATCAGAGTTTCATTTTTTGAATCAGTTTCAGCTGGTCTGCCATGTTGGGGAACACTGCACTATAATTTGTTTTCATATAAATTAATAGATAATTTTGTAGATTAATTACTATGACCACTCAAAAGTTCTTAAAAAGGACACATTTTGCAAATTGACTTTATTTTTCTTGAAGCCATGTCGCAACTTTGTACCCTAATCAAAAACAGAGCTGGAGTCGTTTTTAGATCCATCCTTGTCATCTGTCATTTATGGTACAAACATGTAACTCTGCCCCTTCTGTCTAAAATCTTCTGTCGCTATGATGTCATTGTAACAATATGACATCACGCACTGAGCAGTTTGGTGTCTTTTGAAACAAAAGCTAAGCTAGCTGCTTTTTGTGTGAATTTCTTCCCCAAGAACAGTGGGAAGTCTACCTTACAGAGATTTTATAACAGCAGTATGTGTTCAAGGAGGTGCGACATACGTTTATTTTATTAATAAACGGTACTTCCTCATCGGCGAACACGCTAGCTGCACTTGTAACAGTCTGGAGAATAAGAACTCCTCCCCCTTAGTTAGTGTCCCCCTCCTCCCCCGGGAGCTGTGAGAAGCTCTCCCAAAGCGGAGAGTTGAAAGTCTGTCTGAAAGGATGCTCTGCGAGACGTTCCCAGCAGGCCCTCACTACATGCTTGGGTCTACCGGGTCAGACAGGCTTCTTCCCCTGCCAGCGGATCTAACTCACGACCAGGTGGTGATCGGTTGACAGCGGCCTACGGTCAGATGACACGACAACAAAGTCAATCATCGACCTCCGGACAGGGGTGTCCTGGTGCCACGTGCACTGGTGGACACCCTTGTGCTCGAACATGGTGTTCGTGATGTACTAACCGTGACTTGCACAGAAGTCCAACAACTGAACACCGTTCGGGTTCAGATCAGGGGGACCGTTCTTCCTGATCACCCCTCTCCAAGAGTCACTGGCGTTTCCCACATGGGCGTTAAAGTCCCCCAGGAGAATAACTGCGTCCCCGGGAGTAACACCAGAAAAGTGGAGAGTCCAACCCCTGTCAAGGAGTTGGGTTCCAGAGCCCAAGCAATGTTTTGAGGTGAGGTCGACTATCTCTAGTAAGTATCCCTCAAACTCCCCCGCAAGCTCGGGCCCCTTCCCCCCCAGTGAGGTGACGTTCTATGTCCCAAGAGCCAGATGTTGTGTGTGCGGACTGGGTCGGCGAGGTCTTAGCTTTCAACTGCTGTCCTGTCCTATCTGCACCGAGCCACCACGGATTCCTCTGTGGGTGGTGGATCCATAGAAGGGCCTGACCACGTAATCCCTTCGGGCTGAGCCTGACCGGACCCCGTGGACTAAGGCCAGACCAACAGACACTCGCTTTCGAGCCCCAACCCCAGGCCTGGCTCCAGGGTGTGGCCCTGCCCGGCTGCGCTATGCCAGGCGGCATCACTGATTTCATTTTAGTGCTATCCATGGTGGGTTTTGGACTGCGCTTTGACTTGTCAACCAAGACCCGTTTGCCATGGGAGGCCCTTTCGGGGACATAAATCCCTAGACAACATAGCTCCCAGGATCATCAGAAAACTCAAACTCCCTCACCACGGCAGTCCAGGGGGGCATATAATATTTTTTCGTTAAAACTCTGCAAACACTTTGGAAGTACGACACAGTAGCGTTAAGGCTTGTAAAATTAAATGTGTGTGTCCATAGAGTCAATGAACCAAAGCTGGCACTACATTTGTTTGTCTAATGTATTCCCTTCTGGGTCCGGAGTGGGAGCAAATAGACTGCATAAGCTGCGAAACTTTCTTCTAAACACATTAGCAAAAACTACTGTAATTAATGACATTTAAATTCTGCAAGTCTCTTACATTAACTTCTGGAAATAATAGTCATGTTCTTAAAGATAAAATGGGAAAAGAGGATTATGCAGAGACTAGATTTATGAAGAGATTAATGAATCATGTTATGTTTTAATCTTGGCGTGTTTGTCTGCTTCAGAGAAATTCATTGACCAGATAACTATTTTGAAAGCTTCAGCTTACTCCATTTGAAATCCATGAGGCGTAATCTATGCACCAATACGTATATAAATGAAAAAAAAACAATGATATGATGATGAGCAAAAATCAAAATTGGTAAATATTGGTAAATATCTAAAGAAGCTACAAAAAATTTTTCATTATGTATACTGAAAGTATAGAGCTGTGCCAAATAAAAAACCCAAAGATCAATTTTTGGCATATACATTAAAATTGAGAAATGAAACTAAAGAAGAAGACTTAAGCATTTTCTTCTGAACTCACTGTTTGGAAAAATAATTGAGCGAGAGACTGAAAGCTTTTTAACAAAAATACATAAATAGCCCAGCTCTGAAGTTAAAATGTCCTTAATTGCTTCATCCAACCCTTTGTAAAACTGTCTCGGCCGATTTGTTCTGTAAAATTGTGTTGTACCCGTTTTGCACTTCAGGTGCAAATTAGCTCTTGAGCTATAACCTGGTACAATGCATCTCAACCTTTGAGGTTAATGTTTATTGTACGCTGTCCTTGTCACGTTGAAAAAATAAAGCAAAAAAATAGATATTCATATTAATTTCTAATGGCAGATTTCGTTCTCCTGCTGTGCCCGTTTAGCCTGGCTATCGCCAGACCCTTGTAGTTCCGCCATGCTCCACCAGAGGCGTCTGGCTGAACCACATGGGTCTGGTATCGAGGCCATGGCCAACTCCTTCAGCAGATAATTTTTTAATCGAACAATCAGGATTGCCGGTGTTACGTGGGGTTTGCACAGCCTTCTCAAGGGTGTCTCACGCACCAGCAAAAGCAATCCAAGATGGCGGACATGAAGTCCACAATTTTAAAAACGAAGGAATTAAAACACGGATGTCACTTTTAATCCAATATGAGGCGAGATGTTGATGGTTCGATGTTGTTATATGTGTGTTTTAAGAGGAAAATGTTCGTGTATAGTTTGGTATAAGTACTGGTTTAGGTGTTCCTATTTAAAACTATGCAGCAGGGTTGCCAGGTTGGGTGGTTTCCCGCATACTTTTCTTGAAGAGACTTGTAAGTAATAAATAAACAAAAGAAAATAAACAGAATTATGATAGGCCAAGTTTATTACATTACGTTTTTAACCCAAAAAAATCATTGTTTTTTTTTGGGGGGGCATTCTCGCGAGTTTTGGGCTGGAAAATCTTGCCGACTCCCATGGGTGTGCTTCGATGTGAGTAGTTGAAGGAAGACGTAATTCAAGATAACTGACAAGTGGTTGATCCAATCACATACAAGGATTTTTTTTTTAGAAGGCCCCGCCTCCTGAAATCCAACTGCTATGGAGGAGGCCCAGACGCATGCGTGAAGTGCGGAGAACTACATGGTTCTGGCGAGAGTCAGGCTAGTGCCAGTTTGCTTGTCCGTGTGGATTGTGGAATGACTAATGTTCTTTTTATCTAATCTGCTCTCATCTTATCTGGTTGCACAGGAAGCCGCTAATGCCGGGTGCGCTGACCTGTCATAGCAGTTGAAGTCGTCCAGCCAACAGCCCTTCTTCACCAGTTTGATGGTCCCTGAGGAGTTGAGCCATGACGCGTAGCAGTGCAGCCGCTTGTCCTTCTCCCCCTCGCACCTCTCGTAGCCGCTCTGGTTGGTGCGCTCAGTCCTCCAGTTATCGTTGTAGTATACACACTCGCGCGTCTCCACTTCTCCCAGACTGTAGCCTAGAGCACACGGACACAAGGGGGACATTTTGTTTAGGAGGGAGAGTCAAAATGTGTATGTGGAAAAGAAGCAATGTGCAGATTGCCTTTCTCTGGCATATACATTACATTTACATATACACACACAATATATATAGTTATAATCTACACCTAACACACATACACAATTTGAGTCTAGGTTAGGGTTAAGGCTTATGCAATGTCGCCATAAACATAAAGTTATTATAACCAATCACAACAAAGCATCAGAGCAGACAACCAAATGAAGGAGCAGGTTACTTGCATTTGTGCCAAAATGCTCAGCAACATTGTCAAACCAAGTGAAATTGTTTATTGCCAGATAAAATTTAAGGACACTGGGCTTGTACTAATAGAAATGACATCTGTAACAGATGAGAATAAAGATGGACCAGACTAGGACCAATTCTCTTGGGCCAGGTGAGATGAAGTCCCTCCGGTATGTCCTGGGTCTTCCTTGGGGTCCTTGCCCAGAGCGTACAGGAGCCACTTCTTCTGGCTTCCCTTGACGTAGAGAAGCTGCGGCTCTACTCAGAGTTCAGTTTCAGTCAATTCAATTCAACCATAGTAAGGGAATTAACAATTGCTATATATGTAGTTAGCAGTAAAGTAGGGTTGCCGAGATTGACCAGTTTTACGTAATCGCGACGATAAAAGCCCACGGTAGGTTAACCATACAGATTTTAGATGGCACGGTTTACCGCTGGTACTGGAAACTCTCCCGCGAGGTGCAGTGCGGACGGCTGCACACAGCGGAGCAGTGACTCACCGGTAACTTGAAGATGGCAGGACAGCCTCCCCCAGAGTTATAGCCACCACAACTTAAGTCAGCAGTGTGAGATCACTTTGGGAATTCAAAATATGAGCAAGGCATAGTTGCCAATACTTCAAACATGATACAGCAAAGGAGGATTACCTCAAAGATGTTGTATGTCCAAATCAAGGTAAAGAACTGTCAATTGTCAAAAAAGTTGGTGGATATTAATGCAAAGGATTCTGCAAGTGAAAGTTACACTGGCAAAAACACTTGCGCATGTGCTGGGAGACGCTCTTAAAAAAAGGGACAGTACACACGTATCTGTGATTGTTTGCAAACTGCGAACACTCTTCAGCTGAACTTATGATTCAAACATGACACCTGTTGACACGACCACACGGCAAGGGTCCAAAATGATCACAGAATATGTAATATGATGCAACAATACTGTGTCTTTTAGCAAGATTCTTCACCTTGATATAGTCACCAAGCATTCAGAGAAATTAAATGAGCCAAACCTGTTGTGCAATCGTATGACTGTGGACAACAAAAATGCAGCCAAACTGGGACTTTTCTGGTCGGCAGAGTTTAAAAACGTTACATACAGGAGCTTTAAGTGTAAGTTTTTCAATAGAATATGCATATGAAAGACGCTATGGATACATGAAAAAATTTGCTACAAAAACCTCTGTCGTGTTGAAATACACATATAACAAATTTGTAAGAATTTGCTTAAAAGAATTACTGCAAAATGAAATGTCTTGTGATAAAATGTGTAACATTTCTTTACTATGAGGATGTTCTCCAGGGGCATTACATGAGCTTTCTTTTGGTCAAATGTAGAAGAAATCACATATTCACTAAGTTTTAGGACCTTTTGTGTAGGGCTGCACAATATTGGAAATTAGTGCGATATTCGATATGAGTATTACGATAACGATATAATTGCATATATTTATACTTTTTTTGTCGTTCTTGTTGAATGTTTAAAAATATTTTGTTTTAAATATATATACAGTGCTTTGCGAAAGTATATATAACCTTTCAACATTTCGCCACATTTCAGGCTTCAAAACATAAAGATGTATTATTTTAATTTTTTGTCATGAATCAACAGCAATGGGGGCGTGCAATATTATTCGGCCCCTTTACTTTCAGTGCAGCAAACTCACTCCAGAAGTTCAGTGAGGATCTTTGAATGATCCAATGTTGTCCTAAATGACTGATGATGATAAATAGAATGCACCTGTGTGTAAACAAGTCTCCGTATAAATGCACCTGCTCTTTGATAGTCTCAGGGTTCTGTTTAAAGCGCAGAGAGAACCATGAAGACAAAGGAACACACCAGGCAGGTCCGAGATACTGTTGTGGAGAAGTTTAAAGCCGGATTTGGATACAAAAATATTTCCAAAGCTTTAAACATGTCAAGGAGCACTGTGCAAGCAATTATATTGAAATGGAAGGAGTATCAGACCACTGCAAATCTACTAAGACCCTGCTGTCCCTCCAAAATTTCATCTCAAACAAGGAGAAGACTGATCAGAGATGCAGCCAAGAGGCCCATGATCACTCTGGATGAACTGCAGATAACTACAGCTGAGGTGGGAGAGTCTGTCCGTAGGACAACAATCAGTCGCGCACTGCACAAATCTGGCCTTTATGGAAGAGTGGCAAGAAGAAAGCCATTTCTCAAAGATATCCATAAAAAGTCTCGTTTAAAGTTTGCCACAAGCCACCTGGGAGACACACCAAACATGTGGAAGAAGGTGCTCTGGTCAGATGAAACCAAAATCAAACTTTTTGGCCACAATGCAAAACGATATGTTTGGCGTAAAAGCAACACAGCTCATCACCCTGAACACACCATCCCCACTGTCAAACATGGTGGTGGCAGCATCATGGGTTTGGGCCTGCTTTTCTTCAGCAGGGACAGGGAAGATGGCCAAAATTGATGGGAAGATGGATGGAGCCAAATACAGGACCATTCTGGAAGAAAACTTGTTGGAGTCTGCAAAAGACCCGAGACTGGGACGGAGATTTATCTTCCAACAGGACAATGATCCAAAACATAAAGCCAAATCTACAATGGAATGGTTCACAAATAGACGTATCCAGGTGTTAGAATGGCCAAGTCAAAGTCCAGACCTGAATCCAATCGAGAATCTGTGGAAAGAGCTGAAGACTGCTGTTCACAAACGCTCTCCATTCCTCACTGAGCTCGAGCAGTTTTGCAAAGAAGAATGGGAAAGAATTCCAGTCTCTCAATGTGCAAAACTGATAGAGACATACCTCAAGCGACTTGCAGCTGTAATTGCAGCAAAAGGTGGCGCTATAAAGTATTAGCGCAAGGGGGCCGAATAATATTGCACGCCCCACTTTTGAGTTTTTTATTTGTTAAAAAAGTTTAAATTATCCATATAATTCGTTCCACTTCACGATTGTGTCCCACTTGTTGTTGATTCTTTACAAAAAAATATTTTTTTATATCTTTGTTTGAAGCCTGAAATGTGGCGAAATGTTGAAAGGTTCAAGGGGGCCGAATACTTCTTTCGCAAGGCACTGTATATTAGGGCTAGGACTCGATAAAAAAAAAAAATCTAATTGGAGGCTTTGTAATTAATGAATCTCGATTAATCGCATTTTAATCGCATATAAATATTTGTCCTGAGAACAGTGAAGTAATTTTTTTTCACATGAATTTTTAGTTTACCATTGAATAATGACTGAATACATAAGCAACACATGTTCATTGTGGAGGATCAGACGGACTTCTTTCCATCCAATAACGTTTCTGTCATCGCCTCCACACACTCTGTCCACAACATACACTTCTTAAGCCCAAAATCCACTGCACTCGAAGGGAGTACAAAAGCTTATTATACGTTTTTGATGTGTGCATTCGAACTAAAACAGGGGTGCTCACACTTTCTCAGAATGCGAGCTACTTATAAAATGATCTACCTACTATATACAAAACATATTCATTTCTAAATATATTGAGGATTCTTTATATCTACAATGTATGTTGATGTACATGCAAAACCGCATGATTTATGAAATAATTTGAATTTAAGCACCGCCTCTGGCGCTTATCCAGGATTCATAGAACCGTAGTTATATTTGTAACTTCTGTAGCGGCACTTAGTCAAAGTAGAAACTCAGGGTGAAGACGTATTATTGTAGATCCATGGTGAAGACATGTGTTTACAAGCGTTGACCCCAATCCTCAGCCCAGGTTTGATCCTGGTTTAGCTCCTGTTTTGGTTGTTTTCGAGTGTGCCTGGTCACTTTGCTGCTCTCTGATGTGGAGCGAGGATCGCTGCTGTGAACCGCTCGCAGCAGTGAACAGTTTTTAAGGCAGTATGATCTATGCTTCAGTGATCAGAGGTCGCACGTTTTGTTTGTTGTTTTGGGAGCATACTGTGGCGTGCAAAAGCGCAAAACTCCGGTTATCTCTGTCCACACGCAAATGCATAAACGTATTTTTTTCATGTAATGCGATCTTCCAATACTACCTTTGCGATCGACTGGTAGATCACAATCGACGTATTGAGCAGCCCTGAACTAAAACATCAGCAATAGCAGCTCACACACCTGTGTCTCTGCCATAGCTGCTCCTACACAGGAGTCGTTGCTCCTCCTTCGCATCCTCCTCCATCTCCGAGGAGTCGCTTGCTGCTCCTCCTCCTCACACAGTGGGACTCACTGTGTGAGGAGGAGGAGCAGCAAGCATAGCTCCATACACAGCTTTCCTGTCTCTAACTCACTCACTCACTCACTACTCAGACCGCTAAAGTTGGTCTGCTTGTTATAATGTACTTTTGAACAAGAAAAGTCACGGAGCTCAGTTGGTGCGCCAGTATAAATCGGTCCGTCTGAAACATATCCTCTAGTGAGGAACGTTCCGCGGTGGAACACATGCGATTAAAATGTGTTAATTTTTTTAACGCACTAATTTGTGTGGCGTTAATTGTAATTAAATCGTTAAAGTCCCGGCCCTATATAATTATACAAAAATTAGCACATTAAAATTGACGGATTTTAGTTGTATTTATCTGTGCAATTTTTAAGCAGGCAGACGCGAGGGCGGCTATGCGAGCAGTGGGGTCCTTATGGAGAAAGCTCTACGGAGATGACAAAACCATAGGTCAAAACAACTTTAGCGGTGTGTCAGGGTGAGTGAGAGACGGGATTGAGCACTGTGTATGGAGCAATGGATGCCAGC